CCAGTCTCACCGAAATGTCCTAGCTTAGAGCAAAATCACCAGTCACTATAAGCCTATTGTTCCAACCACCAAATTGAAGGTCAAAACGGCAGCAGCTGCAGGGAATCTTTGATGACCATTTTCTTTACTGGTCAGAGACAAATCTCGTTTTTACGAACGACCATTCATAATGAGAAATTCATTCGTTAAGGAAAGCCAGACTTCTATGATTCACATTAAACATTTTTCTTCGGAGTTTTAATGGAAAGTTTTGAAAGTTTTATTAGTCATTACATCGTTGTCTTCTAGCAAAACAAGTGCATAATGGCCAGCCGCAACAATATGAGTCAGGTCGTGTTCCGGTCTGCTAAACTTACTGTTATGTTCTTTTTTCATGTTAATCCCACCTGTTTTATAATAGTACTGGTGTGTGTGTATGTTGTAGATTCATCACATTGTCTGCAGTCATAGTAATTCCTTACAACCTTAAAAACTTCCATACAGCAATATGGAAAATTTTACTCCATCTAAAAATAATTAAATACTGTACCATTGTGTTTATTGTGAATGTTTTTGTCTTCATTTTCTAAAGCGAGAACGATATGTTGTTAATAAATGGTCATATTAATCCACTTAACTGTCGTTAAATCTTATTCTAACATTGAAATTCAAACATAGAACTGAAGATGAAGTTATTCTCAACAAACAAGGAAAATTATATTACTTGAAGAAACAGTTATCTTTACATACTTTTGACAATTGTATGGACCAAAATATAAACCATTGTTAGGTTGTACAGTGGTTAGCATTTATGTGGCTGTAACAAGGCCTATAAGGAAATCGATGTTCTTTTAAGGCTTTAACAGTCAGTGTCAACCAATAATCAATGAACATCGAATTCATTACCATCAGCAAGGACTTTTGCAACAATGTATCACATTGCAAAAGTGTGTATCACAAGAAATATTGATGTAAATGAGATGAAAACGTGATGGCGATGGTTTATTGCCTGTGCACAGAGTGTCACTTCCTGTATACCCTAACGACAGTATGAACAGATCGATACAGGATTGGATAATGCTCTGACCACAGCAGTTAACATTAGATAAGGGAAAGTAGAGTGTCAATATACAACAACATTGAAAAGCGTTGCATTGGTCGCGGACTGTCTCCTTCATCATTATATTTACGGAAGGCTGTAGGCGGAACTCTTTTGTATCAATGAGTCCCTAGATACACGTTCAACAATGACGCAACTAAGGCGAGACACATCAGAACATACAAATTACGTGTTAAATAGATATACTGTTATCAGATGCAAGAAATCAGTCTTTCTGGTTTTACATACTCACAGCAGAAAAGGAAATTTTACGACGACATACATACATACGCGTCAGTGATCGACGCATTTATAGTGCTATCGCACTGCAATACCATTATCAGAGACAATTTAACATGACATTCCTCCCCATCATAAAAATATGATTATACCAGAGTCCGTTGATCATACGAGACACCAGCTACATTTTTATATAATACAAAGTTTTGAAGCATTTCGTAGATCGAAAGAAAACGCTTAAAGTAAATAGACATTTTAAAAACTTATGAAAAGAGGACCATATATGAAATCTTTCTATCCATGGTTTCCGATTTCAAGGTTCCGAAATCCCGTTTTATAAATAATTATGATGAGTTCTCCTTGCGATTAAGTTTTATTTACAACGGGATAAAACATTTTCAGTATCACTGTCTGTCACCGGAAAAAACTTCTGTGATATTCAACATAAATATTTTAATCCATTCAGTAATTACATGTATTAGATCGAATACTCCTGCAGATTTTAAGCCAATATAAACATAACAGTAATTAGTGTTGACTGTCAGTGTTACTGTAAGACAGAAAAGGGACTTATATCCCGAGCGTAAAAGGGGATTGGCTGAAGCAACGAAGTGAACCAGGATTAACTATCCGATGGAAGAAGGGAAACCCCCAAAACTTTGGAACTCAAACCAGTCGCCCTTTCTAACCTCGCACGGCGATTTCTGTAAGTTTATTAAATAAACCTCTCTTGTCATCAACATAGTCTAAATATAAATGATCAGTGTTTTTGAATCAGCATAAGAAACTATTATATGTTCAACTGCTGCTAACCATTGCTTGTACAACAAGATCGGTCTCAAAATTCTTTATTAACTTTCTTCAGACAGAAGGTGTTAAGTCATTTATGAATGCTTGCTTATTCACAAATTACAATATTAAAAGCATGCGGATTGAAATTAAGAAGTTTTTGTTGGTAAAAATGTCCCTACTGACGTCTGGAGCAAATAATAACCACCAAGAACAAGATATATAACCCCAATAATGGTATTGTAAAAACTTTTCCAGGGATTTTTTCGGTGAATCCGTGGGTTTATATGTCCACGGCATGATACATAGACAAAAGTTGACAGGGATTATAATACTTGTGAATTTGGAGAGCAATATATCCACAAAAATCAAGCGTCAATACTCTATTGTTTTTTGGAAAACCACGAAATTTGAACACTTCGAAAATATATGATTTCACAGTAACTAATAAGTTCTTCAAATGCTAATTTTGTTCCATGCTAGTATTTTTTTCCTTCAATAGGATTTACAATTTACGAAATCGCAAACCCGTTTTAGCTTTAAGAGCCGGAAATCTGAATGGCGAGACTTAGCCATTGGGTTAAGTTATAGTCGCTTGTCTGTTCTGCCTCCTATTTTTTATGATCGACACAGTTGCTTTAACGGTGATCCAACGTTTCATTCTTTCTGGCATCTTTGATGCTTAGAATACTGCATATATAAACATAAGAGGGAAAATAGAAAATACGCATGATTTTAATGCATCCTGTCCTAATTGTATGTAGTAATGAGTTAATTCGTTAGATACAAAGAATACCTGGGTCCTGGAGATCTTTGTTGGCGCTATGTGCCAGTTTATATGACTATCTGCACTCTTTGTTTTGAACGAAATGAGAAGTAAATTATTATTTTAATGCGGGGTTACTAACATTAGAGAAAAGATGTAGAGGTAGTTGTGTTGCCTTATAGACAACATATATTCAACACGCTTTTTATCAAAGCACTTCAGGATTAAACGCTTCGATCGTGACCATATCATCACAAACTCTGTGCTTGTCCCTATATATATGTGTGTGTCTGTGTGTGTGTGTATGATACTGTTACTAGGTAAATCACATTAACAACACAGAAATGTGTTTTGCCGTGATTATTAGTTAACATACAAAATCATACTTGAAATGTTTATTTTCTCAACTTACATGTAACCAGATATTTTTCCATACCTTCTGATCTAATGCAAAATTGCTTATCTCATCGTGGAGTACTGTGGCCAGCTACAGTGTCATACGATCGAGTTCAGGTGTAAATGGACTTGGAGCATTCTCCTCCGATACGCCATTGTCTATCGATTTGTATTTGTCAGAATTGCTTCGTTTTCCGGTATTCGGTTACAGTTTCCGGTTTTCAGTAATTTCTTCAGTCATATTTTACGTTTTAATGGTTTGTTTACTTGACTAAAACGAATTTCATCGGAAAATTTGCAACATGTTATAGTCAGGCAGAATGGTATCAGTTTCGGTACCTTTAAATATTGAATTTGCACGATTTCTGAGGACATATCACCTATCCATGTCTTTTTCATTTTCTGGTTTTGTTTTTTAAATTGATATTCCCTACTTCATTTACTGTGCTACTGGTTTCATGTGTCAATGTCACTTCACTGTATATTTTTTACCTTGACCAACTGATAGTAAAATTTGCTTTGTTTTTCCGAGTCATAAATTCAACGATACAATGATCGTGTTTGTGTCAGTGCTTTACAATACTTTGTAACAATACATTTCTAAAATGGTAATATACATTTTGTGATATTTCTACCAGAAATATTAGTCTACCTGCAATTAGGAACATCGATATAGTTAAACAATCACAATAACTGACGTGCTTTTAGCAAAAAAATCATCTTATTCTTACTGCTGATATGACGTCAAATTCTGAGGCCATGACCTAATTATAAGGTCGAAGCTGGTCGATACATTTTGATATTTTCCACCTGTGGTCAAAACGTTTGTGATGGGTTAGTGTAACTTTGCTATGCTGTCCAGGTAAGACACTTAAGTAAAGCAATATTTTTTAAATAGTTTGAGACCGTTCCACCAGTCAAACAGGAATGCACTCATCAAATTAGATTACCTGCTGAGAAGAAAACAAAACCCCGGGCCATCTATCGATCATCGATAACTAGACATTTGAAATTGGAAATATATTTTATAGAGGTCATCGTATTTATACAGTTTCATTCTTGTTTTACCAACATCTGTTTCGCATCACAGACCACTAAACGCCAGCTGTCATATACACAGCTATAATTTTGTTATAAAAAGGAATGGAAAATGTTAGGGATGAGGAAAAGCCTGTAGACGTGTGTAGTCCAAATATCTATTTGCAACAGACTTCTAGAATATACCCAGTATTTGTGTCTTGTGTTTCATATATCTTCGTTACATGTAGCAAACGAATGGTCATTTCGAAAGCGATAATGAAAGTGTACTGTACAATGAAAACCAATAACTAGATTCAAACAACTATAAAGAGTAAACATTAAATGTTTAGTAGCACCTAACCAATCGGGCACAAAATCAATAGGAAAAAGCACTCGCCGTTCAACGTGTGCGTCAAACGAATCCAAATTATCAAAAATGAGTTTTAATATCACAAAGAGAAATGACATTTAGTTGTTTAAGTAGATACAAAGCAACATAATCATAATTATTACTCAGTTGAGAGCACAATGAAAATGACGAAATCTTTACCCAATAACTGAATCAGTAGTCGACATCAGTAATTCTCTGTTAGTCTCCGCCCCTTTACTATGAATGCGGCTGATGGCACCACAAGTTATATATAGATTTCAGCGCCTGGATTTTCCCATTCACTTCCCAGATCTCTGTGGTGCTAGCACCAGGCTTAGATGAACGTCAATACACACTGCTCGCTACTACAACAAGGGGTCTGTTGATTTCCAACTGTATACAACAGCAAACCGTACTGTGGTGCTGAATTGTCGGATAGCGTGTAAAATTCACTTGTAATTGCGAAAGAAATATGGGGAATCATTCTAGCCGGAAAAACAATGGACTCAAATATCACGGGAAAAAAGGTAAGCTGATTTCAAACTTACAACCAACTGTATTTTATTGGTGTATCTTGGTAATGATATAAGTGCTGTGTAACTAGGTCAGGGTATGAGAATGTTCCACATGGGTTTGGTATCTTTCTACAAATACATATGGTGCCTTTATATACAGGTACATAGCTTTATTAAACATGGACTTGTTCCCGCTTTTAGGGAGGATTTGGTCAATTCTACCTTAAAACACATGTTCTCAAGTACCGGGAAATCATGTTTCTTTATGAATCACAAAATGGGCAACATTTATGGATATTTAAGCATATTGACGGTAAATAAGTTTTTTTTAAAATACAGCATTTTATATTAAAAAAAAGAGAATGCGTCACAAATTCATCTATATTCATATGTTAGTCTGCAATTAATTGCTTTCTAAATTTGATCTACATAGATAATTTCGAGACCAGAATACGTACTTCATATTTAATTGTCAAGTTTAGGTAGATTTGGTATACCAGTGGTGTCTGTGTTGTCTTTTCTTGTGTACTATTAATGATATGGCTAGATTACCAGGCATAGAGATGAGTTTCAAAACGCAGTTACTCTTTTGCAACATCAGTGTTACGTTTCGATATTATATATTAAAGGAAACCCTTCCTATCATATCGTTATATCATTCTCATGCAATGAATATTCATAAGGGAATTAATTAATAAACTACTATTATCCATTCGATACCCTATGATAGCTTTTTCTGGTATCTATTTCAATTAGTCAATATTAGAAAAAAGCATAATGTACTTTTTATAGAATCGAAATTGTTATGGAAACAGAATAAATGAAATAACTTTACTGTTTCAACATAAATGTCTGAAATTAATAATAGAAATATGCACACGTCGCATAAATTCTCTCGTTCGAACCTGTCCTATATTTACCTAAACGTAGATGTATATTCTGTATCAAAGATGATGTTATCGATGAAAAGTATCTTATATCTCTACAGGATGACTCATGACTCAGTCAAAAGGTATTAAAAGCGAATGTTGTAATACATATTTGCATCTGCATGATGCCATCCATGGGTTCCACTAGATAAAACACCACATGTCGGGAAGGTCTGCCTAGTAACGGGTTTGCACCAGTTCAACGTTACCTGAACTCCTTATGTTTATAATGTATGTAATTGATTCTGAAACTCTAGTGGTATTGCTATAGATCTCTATAGAATTCTGGTATACATGTTCCTCCCTGTATTTATCTAGATTCTATTCACTGGCTACTGTTATAGCTATTTGATGGTAACCTCTCCTGATAATGTAAACGTTCACTGGTTCTTCATTGTACTGTTGATTTTGACAATTTTAAACGTAAATAATTCCGTTGCTGTGACCTACAACCAAAGAAATAAGACAAATGGCATATTTATTGTTTTCTTAAGTTTATATAAATCTCTGACGATTGCATTTGACCTGAAACAAATTATTAATAAACATGATTTCAAGAACAAACATGTATTAATTGTTACAGGAACCGATACATATGCCCCAAGCTATTCCCGCACCTTAGATAAAGTTAAATAAGTTGTGCCCAATAGCAACACATTACACATTCAAACTTGATTGAAGCGAAATTGAACAAGTTTGAAATTTTGACTAATTACGGACACTTTTGAAATTTTGACTAATTAGGGGTCGTAAGTACGGAAGATTTTCAACGAGATTCGTATCAGTCATTCCAAATGATATGATAATACTGGGTTGTACATATTGATGTTTATGCCATTAGTATGAATCTTAATATATAGTGACATAAGCTACAGATTTGTCCGAATACAATTAGTTGACGTATATATACATTTATAATACATAAGATATTTTGGATTTTAATTTGAGAAACAAATTATATAATTAGACCTATAATGACGACTAAGACACTAGAAAATGTAAATGTGTTAGTCTGTGTGTCAATATACCCGGGGTGAAAGACAAAGTTGTATTAGCCATGCAAAAACAGATAAATAAATATATAAGTAGCAGTTTTTATCGTTGGAAGTAAGCAAAATGATGAACTAACGACCTACATCTCCGTAAATAGCAGAGCTGCAGACGAACATATACAGTACATCAAAACGCTCTTAATGTTACTACTAATGTTGTATAGCACGTATGTCTGCAACGCTGTTAAAACCAGCAGTATCAGTGTTATCATCAAATGTCATGTATACAATATGGATTAGCACAGATCAAGGATATTTCACATTTCTAATACATAATACATAGTGGTTGCAATGTGTTGTGTATACCTAGCGTCGTAGTACTGACACTATATAAAAATCGATAATTACCATTCGATTGATTTCATAAATAATTCCTTTTTACAAAAGTACAAAGGTTTTCACTGATACTTATAAGTCATTATGTTATATATATATAACGGTATGACGCAGTTGTTGTTCTAATATTAACATGAACCATAATAATCACCAACTCATTACATACATATAGCAACAGATGTCCAAATGCAGGACAATAATACCTAACATTATCGTATGATCAACAGATAAATTATTGTATATTATGATACGCATTTGTGTCTCCAAATAAAAGTGACGTATACACGAACATCCAAATTCTAGTAAAATAAAACGATTTTTTACCAACTAACGATATGAAAAGCATCCTCTATATACCACATTCGGTGATAGATGAATTCACCTTTTATGTAGCACTGGCGAGTAGGCAGGTCCCTTGACGAATTGGAAGAAGCCACTTCTACACGAGGACGAGTGAAAACATGAATCTACATAACAGCATTTACAATTTTTTTGTCAGGGGAAATCGCCTACTGGCCCGCGTGTCAGCTAGGACCAACACTTTCCAGAGGTCACCTGGGTATTTAGAAGTTAATAGAGCTGACGCAAACATGGCCAATTACCAAATGTTGGAAAATCGATAAATAGGGTAGTGTGAAAGTCCTTTGGGTTAGCCGTGATGAGGGTTTTAATACGACCGAATGATGGTGTTACCAATACTGGGTTGTACATATTAAACTGCGTGGTAGCGAATAGATTGAGACACGGGACATATCGAAATCACTTATCAATTTTCAGGTGCTTTTATAACCTAATACATTAAAAGATAGGAAGTGGCATTGAATCGTCTATTTAATATATACAGCGCTGTAGAAGTACATCCCAGACTTTATTGTGTATGATAACGCCTAGTGTCACGTTCGTGTGTCTGGCTATGAGATCAGTAATGATATCACTTCTTACAGCAGTAATCAGTGACATCTGGAGCCACCTTGCTTGCTGCCAACGCTATACAGCCAACGTTGACAGATGTATTCGTTGATACCAGACAATGATAGGCTTAGTGTAGAGTAACGATCTAATTCGGAAGGAATGGTTATCGACCTGGGTCTGTTAATACAGGTAGACTATCATATAATGCCATCCTTATCGGTTTTCTATGGTTATGCATCATACTCTGTACACAGGTTGTCTCTACCAGTCCTTTTTTACTTTCTTTTTCCTCGGTTTCCATGTTGACAATTTGCCTAGGAATTATTTTACATAATCATCACATATTGTTAAATCCTTTGAAATAGGTCCTTTATACCTCCTTCTAATCGTCGGTCTTCACTAGGTAATGAAAAGTCGGTATAATGGTACTTTAAACTTACCTATATTTGAAAACCTCCTTCCACAATAATTCATGCCTTTAGATAACCTTAAGTGATTGGATATTGGAATAAATTATCAGCACCGTGTTATCGGTATTAAGTTATAAATTATACAATATAAACCTTTATAATCATGGATTAGCCGTTCTATCTGTAGTGACGTCACAGTTTCATGGCATTAACTCCGCTTCAGCTATATTAAATCCTATTTTTACTGATCGCTGATCATGAACTTTTTATAACTTGTCTTATAACAAAATGTGAAATTCTATATATTGTATATATAAACTGGAATAAATTTTTCAACGTTACAACAAATAAAAACTGAACGAAGAATAACAATGCATAATAAAAAAATAACACTTGTTTATATCAAACAATAGGATACTGTGTTATATTTTTTCACAATTTGGGTCTTAGTATTTTGTTGCTCTGTCAAAGAAAAAATGTTAAGCCCTGTCAATAAGGACAGTTTGCCTGTTCTATGCGTGTGAATGATGGTGATGTTTAAATATTTATTGACTAGTAGGAGAATTTCCCAGTTCTCATTGTTCAGAAACTTCGCATTAACAAAAGACTGAACACTACATTCAATGTTCTGTGCCAATATACAACCGACATTGAATTCAAACAATGCTGTTTATAGTCGTACAATATAAATATACATAAAGAGTAAGTTTAATATATAATGCAGAAAGCATACCAAAGTATTATACAATCTCGCATGCATATCCTATTTGACAGAATTTCATTTCAATGCATGCATACGAACGAATATAGAAAAATTTAAAGGGAAACAGTTACAACTTGCATAGTAATTAAAATCATTGGTAAAACAATCCAATTTCATGATCAATATTTTTGTTATACACGTTCTCATAATGATACATTCGAAAACCTTTTCCATTCAGGATGTTTTCACACAGCCTTATATGTGAACAAAATGGTGTGTTGCGTTTTCTGATAGCTTGTAAAACTAGGTTCGATGCAAGATTACAAATGAAAGACCGTTGGCCATCATCCCAGACAACGTCGTCATCAGACATGTTAGTTATAAGAGGACGTAACATCCCATACAATTAATCATTAGCAATATCGACAAACCATGCGAAAAGATCATTTAAAAATACTATATTGTAAATAAGAAATTAAGTCAACAAGACATATAACTTTATTGTACATTAGTATCTCATAATTACATATGTAATTCAATTAACATTATCCAGATCAACACCTATATTCTAAATTACTTTTGAAATTTATCCAGAATAGCAGTAATATTATGACACTTACATAAACAAATAATTGTTAGGACCAGGGTCGATAATTTTGTTTAATGTATT